TCTTCTGAAACCTCAAGCCCAAACTTGTCAAAATTATCACTCTAGCCTCCTGCTGGAGACAGAGGTGTTTGTGAGTTGCTCAGCCTTTTGAAACTCTGGGATCAAACTTCATGGTAGCTCAGGCCTAAAGAGTAGGGGAGCAAAAATACGAACGCCTTGAGAGGCATATAGTACAACAGTGATACTTGAGCCCACTGGCCGGGTTCCAGTTTTCATTCTGCTACTTTTTTTTTTTTTTTTTTTTGACGGAGTCTCGCTCTGTCGCCCAGGCTGCAGTGCAGTGGCGCAATCTCGGCTCACTGCAAGCTCCACCTCCTGGGTTCACGCTATTCTCCTGCCTCAGCCTCCCAAGTAGCTGGGACTACAGGCGCCCGCCGCAGCGCCCAGCTAATTTTTTGCATTTTTAGTAGAGACGGGGTTTCACCGTGTTACCCAGGATGGTCTCGATCTCCTGACCTCGTGATCTGCCCGCCTCAGCCTCCCAACGTGCTGGGATTACAGGTGTGAGCCACCGCGCCAGGCCCGTTGTACTACTTCTTAGCTGTGTGACCTTGGACACAGTTCTTAATCTCTCTGTGCCTCAATTCATTTCTCTGTAGAGATAATGGTATCAACTTCACAAGTTGTGGTAACAATGGAAAGAACTGATACATATAAAGTGCTTAGAATGGTGTCTGGCATGTGGTAAGCCCTCTGTAAATGTTGCTGCTGTTACATCATGACTCTGAAAGGGGGTTTTAGTTAAAATAGATCCCATCTACTACTATAGCTCAAAGTCCAGCTTGCAAAAAAGACTTTGATTCTAGTAACTAAGTGGAAGCCAGTATTTGGACCAGGAAATATCCGCTGCTACCTCCTCGAAAGGGCGCCTTCCTCAGGGTCCAGGGAGGGGATCAGTTGCCCTCCATCTTCCGCCCCACCTGCCCCACCCTTCAGTTACACAGGAATGCTGGCTCCTCCAGCCTTGCAATTGCTCCTGGGGATGGAGACAACTTTTTGTGCTGACTGACGAAAGGCTTTCCTAAAGAATAGCTTGGCTTCAGGATCTTGCCTACAGGGAGGTTTTGGTCCCCAAAGGGCAGAGAGACTTCTGTGGCCCCGTATCAATGCCCTGGATATGCCATGAAGATGCCGGAGAATCTAGTTAGGAGAGGAACCAGCAGGAGCCTGGACAGAGGCAGGGGCTGCACGGCGTCCCTAGTTCTGTTCTCTGGGCCAGGACAGGAACTGATGCATGTTTGGAGGAGGAGGTCCAGGATCTGGCTAAGGTGCCTGGGATGGCACCGGGCAACAGGGAAGGGGAGGTCTCTGAGAGTGCCCTGGTGACACTGCAAAGGGTCCTATTAATCTTCCCAATGGGGCAGTGGTGGGAACCCCCACCACTCCTCTGAGGGCTGACCCAGATTATTCAGGGACATATGGAGAACTGACCCAGCAAGCACAGAGTTGAGCTGATTATAGTAGGGACTGAAGAAGGCAGCCGCAAAAATGCAAGACAGCTGCAGATGCGTCCACGCTTTGAAGAACAAAAGCAAAGAAAATTGGCTCACCAATGAGAATTAACTGGTAACAACATACTGAACAGAAATCAAAATCAGTTCTCAGCCAGTTCACTCAGAAAAATGCAGGATCCTGAAGAGGACAGCTGAGCGATGTGAGGCCTTTGAATATTCAAAACTTCTACCTTAAAACCCTTCTGTAAAGTGAGTTCAGTGCTTGCAGAGATGAAGCGAACACGAAGCCCAGGAGACGTCTTGTCTTCATGTCCCCTGTGCTCCCCAGGCTCCGCAGGGTCCCCTGGAAGCCCCTTCCCTGGTCCCTCACTGGCAGCTGGCAGCTAGCGTGGGGCGGCCTCCTCCCAGGTGCTCTTGGCTGTCACAGTGAAGTGCTGCATTCTTTAGGCTCCCAAACCTTGAGCGCAGACAATTTCAGATTTCGGGTTCAGTGTCGGGCAACGCTCAATGTGTCCTGCTCTACCTAGCTCCTCAGGAACATCTCCCCGCCAGCCCATCCCCTAACCCCTAGTGACCACCCAGGTGCATCTCTTTTTGTCAAGAAGAGCTCGTTTATCCTTTTTTTTTTTGCCCTTTACTGTACTTTGGTAGAAGACTGGCAGCCAGAGAAAAAACTACCCTGGGTCAGGAACAATGCAGCACTGATAAGGAAAGGGTCAACACCACTTGGGTTGTAGCCGAAGACAGATGGTAAACTCAAATGTGGAAGCTGAGGGTTTAACAGAGACTGTTCATAAAGGCACTGAGAGGGCTTAGGAAAACCCACAAAGGAAGACATAGTAGCCAGGGCAATAGGCTGGTCTTGGCCTGCAAGGGCAGGGGACACAGCTTGTAAGAGGGCTGCCAGGCAGGAGCTGCGCCCACCAAAGAAGGCAGCGAATGCCCAGCAGCCCGGCCCAGAGCAGGGAGGCACTCGGGGGGTCAGCGTCTGGACCTGGCTCTCCCCTTCTCTCATCTCCCCTTGGTGTCTTCATTGACAGAATCCCAACGAATCCAGAAGCCCAGGGAGTGTGTTAATGCAGTCCCTGAAGATCAGCCTTTCTGGGTAGAGAGGGCAGAGCAGGCAGAGTGGTTCTGGAGGGGCAGATAGAAAAAATCCAGCCCGGGGCCATTTCCCAGAGGCCACAGCTCCTTGGTCTCTAGCCAAGCGCAGCCATTATAGGACGCAACTTCCCTGGCCAATTTCAAAGCTCTGCTTGCTGCTGGGAATGCATGTTTAAACAAAGCCTTTATTCTCTGTTCCAACAGCGGGGCTGGAATTTAAAAAGCTTCATTTTCAAGACTGGTTGCTTTTGATCTGTCTAACCTGGAACTTACATTTTGGAGTCAAATAGAATTATTTAAACAAAGTATTTCAGCGACAAGCACAAAATGTTTTGATTTTTTTTTTTTTTGGCTGCCCCCCACCCAACCCCCGCAGCAACACACAACATTCCTACTCAAAATGAAAGGACAATTTTGTGGCCGACTCTTAAAATCTCAGCTTCAGTTTCCCTGGGTCTTTGTTTCCTCAACCTGTGCCTTTATCTAGGTTTGCCTGTGTACGGGCCCTGGGAGGGGGCTAACTTTACCTCAGACTGGCCTGGAGCAATCAAATATTCTATGAGCAGTGCTTCTCTCCTCTCACTCCGGCTTCCAGCTTTGGCAGAACCATGTGTTGTCATCCTGTCTTCTTTATGAATTATAATTTATTTTCATTTTGCTCCACATATCCCCATTTTCCTTCCTTCTCTGATGTAAGGCCTTCTCTGATATCATCCTCTACTCTCCTCAAATGAATTTGTCCCCAGCTCGCCTGCATTTCTCTTTTTTATCATATTTTGCCTGTCTTATCTGTTACTCAAGTTGGAATGTGGATCACTATTTGTATTCCTTGAAAATAACACCTGCTCTGTGCTGTCCTAGACAGGCTATGTCCCACTGGATCACAGCCAAACCCAGCTCCCCACGCTATGGAGCACAGGAGGTATCGCAGTGTTTGTCATTGGTGCCTTTGAGTTGGCCTATCAGTCATTGAAAGTCAATCTGAAATGGAAGAGCACCATTTTTTCACAGTCTGAAAGCAAATGGAGGAAGGAAGGCCATATATCCCCAGACCTTAAAGAGGCACATCCTTTGGAATACAAAGCTCAGACATGGCCTGGTTCAAGTGTGTTCTCCACAATGAAGTAACAAAAATACAAATAAGTAATGAAAATGATGTGGAAATTCTCTCTAGAAAGAGTGAGCTAAATTTCTATTAAAATGACACCTATAAATCAAATGAACGTCTTGAGGGAGGGGCGTTAATAGAATGCATCATATGGTAGGCTGGGTGGTTGGCCTTGCCTGGTGTGAGGTGGGAAAAGGTGAAGACACGCTAATGTGTTATAAAATGACTTCATCTTTTAGTTAGTGGTTAATTCTGGACCTTTGCTCAAGTTTACTGAGCAGAATCAATCATTTTTAGGGCCAAGAGAAATGTGGATAGTACTCTATTTGACAACAGGATCTTCTAATCCCAAAAGAGTATCTCTGTGAAAGTAAGAGTATTTTGAATATAGAGGATATTTCATTTTCAGGCCCAGAGAATAGGCAGAATCAAAGCCACCATGTTGGTTAGGCTTTTCTGCAAGGAGACAAGCAGCCACCGTGCACTAGGTCCCTGCTTTTCCCCGCCAGAGGTGACAGAACTGAAGCGTACACATCTGCCTTTGAGGCTACTACTAGGGAAGGGAAGGTTTCACTTAGCTAATGAGGCCAGAATTCTCTTCAGGTGGACAGAGCATGCCCTTTAAAGACTGGCTCACTAAACCCTGAGAGAAAGCTTAAAGCTCAGGATATGGTTTATGGGCTTCCGATATGACTGGAACTAGTCATCAAGAAGGGAGAAAGATCTTGAAGCAGCTATGTTAATGCCAATATAAAATACAGACAATTTCCACCAGACATGCCTTGACCAGCAGGTTCCCCCAAGGGAAGCACACTGAAGGTACTAAGAAAATACCGGCAGAACCACGCGGGGCAACACAGGCCAGTGGTATCTTTGATTCATTCAGAATCACAATAGTGTCTTCTAAACTAATTGTGAGAAGCACATGTACTACTTTTAGTTACCAAGTGGATTTAAATGCAACTAGTATGTGCTCAGCTGGCCAGATGTGGGCCATTTTGGAGACCTGACAATTCCTTGGGGGTTTGGAATGGAACTAGGTTATGTCTTTATGAAGGTAAAAGCAATTACAAATTCTTTCTTTAGAATTTGCTTGGGAAGCAAAGGAAAGCAGCTATTCACCCAGTTTGACTTCAACTGGCAAAATTAGTTACCCAGGTGGAAAGGAGATGTCTATAATGCGACGAGAAATGAGGTATGTTCCCCTGTTTCTTGCTTCATGATCTTCCCCAAAGATGTGTGCCTACCATTGCAGCAGTAGACCAAACTTATAATTTGCACAAAGGCTTAGAGGACCTTATTATATTCACCTCTTGTTAACATAAAAATTAATGTGCTGAGTAACATCTGTTTTTTATTGATTTAATCAATACATTGAGAATTTAGCAGCAAGTTAATGGCAAGCAGTTACAAAATCTCCTATCTTTCTACGTTTAAAATAAGTTGTCTTAAACAATCTATAGCAACCTAAAATCTCACAAACACATGTGAATGAAGCACTTCTGCTGTAATACCTATGGCAAGTTTATTAGTAATTTTCTAACAAAGTCTTCTAGTACAAAGTGCATGTATCATTTGGAATCTCCATTACCATATTTGGCCTCTTGTTTTCCCCTATAAATAGCTGTACCTAAACATAAGAATTTGAAGTAAAAATGAGCAAGTGTGCCCACGGCCTTGAATTGCGGGTATCTGCCCCCCTAAAAAACTTTCGTGTACATCTTGAGTTGATTTTCCCTGCAGCCCACAGCCAAGCGTACTGGTGGCTGTCCTTTAATGCCACGTGCAGCTTATGCTGCTTTGGAGGTAAGTAGCTTCAATTTTAAGCTGGTACAAACACATGGCGGGGCTCTGCGGAGCTAAAAGGCTACAAGCTCAGCATAGGGCTGTCCTCTTCCCCTCCTACCCCCTCATCAAAGTGCTAACAACAGCAGCTTTGTTTTTGTACCGTCCAGTACTGGAGGGAACCTTAGAGTTTCTTTTTGGTTCTGGACAGGGCCCTGGATTTAGCAGGATACTTGGTTGCTGTTCCTTGGCTTGGAGTCACAGGGGTTTTCTCCATTTCTCCCTTGATTTCAGCTGGAAGGAGTTTGTTAGATGTGAAACTTGAACTGCATGTCTCGTAGTTGTCCTTACTGGTCGCAGGAAATTGCTTTTCATAAGCAGTAGACTGCAAATAAAAGGTCTTGATTAATTTTCAGACACAAAGCAATGCACATCAATTCAAAGATGCAAGGAACTACAAAGCTGTCCAGGATTTTCAAGCGGGAGCACTCTCTAGATACATAGGGTACAAACTAGTCATATTGTAACATTATCATTAAATGCCAAAAGATCCTTTTGCACCTTTAAGAAAACTGAATTGTTCAGTGTTTGGTGTGGAGCAAACTCTACAGGCTCAATTTGGAAACCTCTGCTATCCAAAATGTAAGTAAATGTCTGGTAACATTTGTGCAGGGAAGCCCACTTAGACATAATTGTACTCACTTCATCTTTACAGATTTCTACACAAGCTCTGACATTTGTACGGATACCCTGACAAGTACAACGTAATTATTCTTTCTAACCCGGGTATAAAGTGCTACATAAGGCCCACACTCACATCCCCACTATCTTCCCGCATTAATTCCAGAGACTGGTTTCTAATCCCAGTCACACCACTATGGACCTCTTTGAGCCTCTCTGTTCCTTGCCCTTAAGTGGAGGCAAATAATATTTGCACATTTGCCACAAGAGGTTACCATGAGAATGAAGAGAAAGTGTGGCCACGAAAGTACTATGTGAGCTTTAGAGTAGAAAACAAGCAGATGGGGTTTTAAGAGGCAGTTGTATTTTCTCAGGTTGCCTCAATCCACAGTAAAGGAAGAAGTGGTTTTGAATCCTGCTGTCAGGAGGGAAGCAGGGTCCGTTTTGACCTTAGGCCTATTTTTAAAGTGATCACTTTTAATTAAGTGAAGCTGAAGCATAGAGTTCTAAAAGAGTAGAGATTGTCTCAGGAGACCTACAAAGCAACACAGGGGCCAAGCCACTGGGGTGGAGAGAGGGAAGCTCTGGTTTACACAGGATGATTGAGGAAAGAGCTCACAAGTTTAACACTCTGGTTACCTGAAAGTCACAGCACACTTGGGTTAAAAATCAGGTTAACAATTTTCAAAGAGTGTGATAAGATGGTGTGTAACACAAAATAAATGCAGTGTTTCCTGGATCATTCAGGTTCTTGTGCTGTAATGATGTTTTATATCCAATAGTAGCACTTAATATATGTTTGCCTAGTGAATCCATGACTTCCCAGGGCTGCAGTAAAAGTCTGGGTCCGGTAAGACTTTTGGCATCTATGTATTTCAAGAAAGAAAATCTATATATATTTCAAGAAAGAAAATCTACCTGATGTTTGCTTACCGAAGAAAGCCCTTAAAGTGTGCCTCTTCAGAACATCACGTGTGTCTGATTTTATAACCAGCATATGCTAATTCTTGAGCAGGTAATACTTAAAAATCATTTTGCACCTTAAAATTTTAATTTGTATAAAATTTGAAATGTAAAAAGGTCACTTTCTCTAGTTCTTTTTCTCCCCCAAGAAAACCTCTGGGTTGCTTCTGTGTATTCTTTTAAGAGGTAGAAAATATTTAAAATTCTTTAGTATTCCTTCACATAGGTTGTATTTTTATTGAAAACTCCTTATGTTCAGTGATTAGGTGAGGATACAACACCCCTGATGTTAGAGCATCTGGCTGAGAACAAGTTGCTTTGTTTAGTACACTGCTGGTCTCTAAAAGATATACACCCTATCCTGAAAATTTCAATTCATAAAATTTAATTACCTTTACATACAAATCCTATTAAAAGGTGAATCTAAGTGTAACTTTCTCTCTTTTGACATTTCTACTTGGATTTTGAGTTATCATCCAAGTTGTTGAGGAAGTAGTTTTCAACATGTCCACTACAACTAACATTCTATCGAGCAGGAATAAAGATTCATTTTCCTTTAATGTACTTAAATTCTTATCTGGCTTAAGGGTTCCATTCTTCTTCACTGCTCCATTTGTTAATGTAGTTGAGTCATTACAGTAGTTTCAGGAGTTGCAGTCACTCCTGAAGAAACACTCAGAAACAGTCTCTGTGAACAGAATTATTGATGATAATTTTTTTCTTTTTCCCAAAAACTCTATAGATGCTGGTATTTTCTTCTTGGATATAATATCTTAAGATCATTATTAAAGTCTTCTGGCAAAGTGGAAGGAAAAAGAAAACTAAACAATGTTTAGTTGCTTTGGTGTAGAAATATGATATTTCTGTTTCATTTTGTAGTAAGATAAGAAAATGATTTTCCTCAGCCACATTGATTTTTTTGTAAGTTTAGTTATTTATTTCTTAAACAGATAGTACATCCCCATGATTTAATATTCACAATGTTCAAAATCTCCTCTTTACCCCATAGTTAACTGAGCTCTGCCCCCCAAAGACAACCAATACTGTCAATTTATAGTGTACACTTTCAGAGAGATTTTATGCATCTTCAAGCAAATATTAGGTGGAACCAAATGGATATGGTTGTCATTCCACTATCATTTCCATTGGTTGCAGGTCAAAAACAGTCTAATAATGGCAATTTCCTATGGTTCAATCTAATTCATTGATATGGTTTGGCTGTGTCCCCACCCAAGTCTTACTTGAATTGTAGCTCCCATAATCTGGTGTTGTGGGAGGGACCCAGTGGGAGGTAACTGAATCACAGGGGCAGGTTTTTCCTGTGCTGTTCTCATGATAGTGAATAAGTCTCATGAGATCTGATGGTTTTACAAAGGGCAGTTCCCCTGCACACATTCTCTTGCCTGCTGCCACCTAAAGTGTATCTTTGCTCCCCCTTTGCCTTCCACCATGATTGTGAGGCCTCCCCAGCCAGGTGGAACTATGAGTCCATTAAACCTCTTTTTCTTTATAAATTATCCAGTATGTCTTTATTAGCAGTATGAGAACAGACAAATACACTCATCTATTGACATGCTTTCTTCCCATCTTTCATACAAATAGTAGCCAACTATAAACACTCTTACACCTTGACTTTTTTCAACTAATGATTATCTTGAAGATCATTCCATGTCAATTCATAGAAAGAAAAAGTCCTCATTCTCTTTTTTGGCTATGCAATATTCTCTTGTTTAGAAGTACCATAATTTATTTAACCAGTCCCTTTACAATGAACACTCAGGTTTGTTTCCAATCTTTTGCAAGCACATTTTGCACATGACACTTTGCACATTCGTAAGTTTTTCTACAGGATATATATTTTAGAAGAGAAATTCTTCGGATAAATGGTACATGGATTTGTAATTTTGAAAGATATCATCATGTTGCCTTCCACTGCAGTTGTACTGAGGTATAATCTTACCAGTAGCATATAAGAGTGCCTGTTTTCTTATTTCTTTGTCAATTTGGTTTTAATACATGTTAAAACTAATACAGTCATCCATATTTTAATTGAGCTCCAAAATCAGCTTAATGCTGGCTGCACTGAAACAAATCACAGTATTTGCTCCTTCACAACCTGGTAACATCAATTCAAATCTACTTGCCTTTATGCAAATATATATATATATTTTTGAGATGGAGTTTTGCTCTTGTCGCCCAAGCTGGAGGGCAATGACACAATCTCGGCTCACTGCAACCTCCACCTCCCGGGTTCAAGTGATTCTCCTACCTCAGTCTCCCGATAGCTGGACTCACAGGCACGCGCCACCATGCCCAGCTAATTTTTGTATTTTTAGTAGAGGCAGGGTTTCACTATGTTGGCCAGGATGATCTCAATATGCAAATGTTTATGCTTCTATGTATATGGGTTTGTCTTATAAAATACTATATGTGTATGTGTGCCTTACCATTTATCTTTACTAAATTCCAGTTGCATGAAGTTTAGGATGCCATTGTTTAGGAAGCAGTATCCTAATAGTTTTTCTAGAAGAGTCTGAGACTCCCCTCAAATATCCTTCATTGAAACCATTCCTCTGATGCTAACGGAACACGAATGCACAATGGCCACCATGGTGACCTCCAGGCCAGGCCATAGTTTTCTTCACAAAGAGCCAAGCCTCTTAGTTCCTGGAGTGGGCAAGGCAAATTCCAGCTTCCAAGCTTTATCTAGAAACATGAACAAATCTTAATTTTTCAGTGATTTATTTTGTTGGGTTATAGGTTATCTAAGTTTTGCGTTTCTCCTTTTCTTCTCTCATAGCTGGTGGGATTCCTCAGGGATCTATGCTGTCACTGATGCAATTTTATAGTTTTGTAAGTAATAGAACAGAGAAATGAAAAATGAAATTGCCAAGGCTATAAGATCTTCCAGGTCAGGAAAAGCAAATAGAAGGTGATGAGCTCCCATAAGATTGTACAAAGGGGGAGAAAGATAACAGAAGAATTTCAATACTTAGTTCTTAGGGGAAAGATTCTAAATGATCATTATGAGACTGTTGGGCATATATTTACCAATTCAAGAGAAGACCTAAAAGTCACTATAGGCTGTTCTTTGAAGATACTGGTCTAATGTACCATGGCACACTAGTCAGAAAAACCTAGCTATCATCAGAAAGCATTTTAGAAATCAAAGAAACAAATTTCTATCCTTTTATAAAATCATGATGAATTCGTACCTGAAACACTGCAACCAGCTTGAACAGATATAAAGGGACCAGAGAATGTTTACAGACAGGCTACTAATATGATTAAGGAATGAAGGTTTCTTTTTAAGAGTGCTCTTCAATCTAAAAGATAAAGAATGAGAGGCTATATATAATCAAAATCTATAAAATGAAGAAGGAGGCATATTTCAGCACTGTGGAGGTGGACAGCATCTCTGAGTGCTGCAGTCAGTCAGGACGGTTACATCAAGGGCTGCCTCAAGCAGCATTTCAATTGTTCTTCATCTCTGGCAAATTCTTACCATTTGGGACAGTTGAAGAACAGTCAGTTCTATTAGAGGCAGAATGATGGAAAAGATGACCTTACAAGCATTCCTCCAGTTTCACCTTTTTGTAATTCAGTACCCTTGGCCTAATTTCTCTAGCTCATATTATTAATCTTGAAAAGGGGGCTCCATGTGTGCAAGGGGAGATATGTAACAAGAAAATTGGACTAACTGCCGGGCGCGGTGGCTCACGCCTGTAATCCCAGCACTTT